ATGCTTAGCAAATTCACAAACATCACAATGAAAAGACTCAACAGATTTAGACAAAAACAATGGCGGAAATAAAGATTTGAGTAAACTAAATGGAGGATGACCTAAGCGCTTATGATGAAGCCAAATCAAAGAATCAGCAGTTGATTGACCATGAGACATCAAGATGTGATCTGTTACTTTATTTGCAGGAGATTGTGACACCAGATAGTACAGCCCACCTTACTCTTTAGCACTACCAATCGTCTTCCCCGTGGTGAGATCCTGAAAAACACAATGGGTAGGATAGAAGTTTACAGTACAATTCAAATCTTTTGTAATTTTATGAATAGAAAGAAGATTTGTGGAGAGTTTAGGAGCATGAAGAACATCCTTAAGATGTAAGGACTGCTGTAAGTTTATGTCACCAGAACCCGCAACTGATGTATGAGAGCCATAAGCTTCAGCTATTGTATGAGTTCCAATGGTAGGATGATAAGAAGTAAAAGAGTCAGCACAACAAGCCATATGATCAATAGCACCAGAATCAACAACCCAAGAATGTTTAAAATCATTACATGAAGAAAGGAAAGAATAAGTTTTGGAGCTCATACTAGTCATAGTCAAAGCACTAGTATCAGATGGCTTACTCATAGAATCAAGAATGGTTCGGAGCCGTTCTAACTCATCTGGACGAAATGCAGGTTGGGTCTCATTAGGTGCAGAAGTTATTTTAGTAAAATGCGGTTGACCATGCAACCTTGCCATCTTTTCTAAGGCAGTTTGCTTTCCATAAAGGCGGAAGCATAAATCCTTGATATGACCTGTTCTTTTACAATAAGAACACCATCGATCATCTCTCTTAGGTCTAGAAGAAGTACCATCATAAAATTTTGAAAAAGAACTCCTTTGAGAAGAGGCCATACTGCACAGAAAATGGTCAAAGAAAAGCTCCAAGAAGCCAACAAATCACAAAACAAATACCAAACGACGTCCGATCTGAGAGGAGAGCACAGATCCAGAAAGAGGATGAGGAGAAGATCAGAAATTTTTTTGGCTGGAGCTAGAAAAAGTGGCCCACGCGCCTCCACGCGCCGGTGGAGGTGTCTGCGAGTGGGCCTCACTCTCCGGGAGTGTGGCGGCGCGTGAGAGCGCGTGCGGCGGCTTTCGCAGCTGAAATTTCGGCGGCGAGGTCGTCCGACGGTCTCGAACCTTTCTGTGGCCGTTCGGAGTTGAAAGATCGCCGGAAAAGTGTCCAAAACGCGATGAACAGTAGCGGCCTTGTGTTGTTTTGGGAAGATCCGGTCGTCAAACGATTACAACACGTCAGTAAGTTGATAGATCAGAGAAAAAGGATTTGAAAACTGGTCTTCTTGGTCAAAAAGGTCCACCGGAAAAATTTTCCGGTGGCGGCTAATGGCGGCAAGAGGCTAAGAAAGAAGGTTTCTGTTTTAACGGAGGTAATTGCGGAGGCAGAGCCCTCTGGATCGAGAGCTTTGATACCAACTTGAAAGAAAAAAGGTATTTGAAATATTATTGAAATTGTGTATAATCTGTACAAAGGGTTCTCTATTTATAGAGAATACTTGACCTAATTTTGACCTAATGAGCTTGGCCCAATACAACAAATAAATGACTAAATAATAACTAAATAATTATTATTTACAACAGGAACTTAGGGACAATAAGCACTAATGCCAAAACCAGGATCAACTAGACCAACATGCCATATAGAACCAAGGGTCAATTGTAAGGAACCAGACATATATCCCATGAAGAACTCAACAATCTGTAACTTTGAGCTGGCTAAGAGCAATCTGCATTGCAAGTTAACCACCCTTTGATCGATGGCCTCTCCGTATCCTAGGAGGTTAAAACAACCACAACTAAGAAATACAACGACAAGAAAGACCTCCTATGATCATTTTAAGGCCTTTAACACTGTAATGCTGCTAGGGGGCACGACCGACCCATTTACATGAAGAGAATTTGTTGCCTTCCTGAATGACTTTCCAAACATTAGTTCAACTCCCACCCACCAAACTAGGTCGATTGCCTTGGGGCCCATTGGGTTAACCATGGGCCAAGGGGTCGACCAATAAGGCCAATGTCCTGGGCTTGATGAGCCAACCATTTGAGACAATGGGCTGGGCCATCACACATGACTTGGCGTTCTTAGATATGACCCAATTACCACCACCGTGACCTACGTCCAGATTGAAGCTGTTCGATCAACTTTCCACTAATGGTCAAGCTTCAAGGGTGCTTGCTAAACCACTACAACCTTCAAGAATTTTGGTTCTTGAAACCCTTACACTTCCACTCATTTTCTTAGGCTATGAACAACATTTTCACTAGGGTCTCACTACCCTCAACTCAAATAAACAGAAGGAGAGTGTTTAGAAATGGATTTGTACTCTTAAAGTATAGATTATACAAGTTGAAGCTTATGGGTATTGATTAATGACACAAGAATGAAGCTCAAAGGAATTTTATGATCAATATGAATAAGAACAAGTAATGAATGAGTTTGATTCAATGAGAATAATCAAGAATGATTGCAAAATCAATGGAACAATAATTCTTGGTGTTCTGAATTGCAATAAATAAGTTTATATATGTGTTGGTACGAAACTAGTCGTTTATAGCCGTTGGAACACTTACTGCCCAATAAGTATTCGAATACTTTTCTTAAGGTATTCGAATACTTTGTTCATAGCATAAGTATTCGAATACAGTCAAGAAAGTATTCAAATACTTTCTTTACAGAACATATAGATTACAACTTTTTTGAGTTGTAAAGCATTCCAACTTGCCTTTAATCACTTTTAATGTAATTCCTTGACTTGTTGAAAATGTTTTGAGGTTACGAAATATGTCAAGGGTCTTTTTCATAAATTTTAAAGCTTTCAAGTGATTAATGTCATGGATAATGGATGCATAGAGTTAAGTATCCTTTGAGCTCATTTATGCATCATTAATCAATTACCTTTACATTTAAATCTAAGCCATCAAGGATATGCTGCAATCTTGATCTTTGATCTTAATCATGTGTGTTGAATGATTTGTTCTCGTTGTCTTGTTGAATTGCTTACTTGGACTTTTTGATTGTTGCAAGTTGTATTATTTTTGAAGTTGCTTCTAAGCTTGTTTGTTATCATCAAAACTCTTGTATAATTGACCTTTTCATTTTGTGTGCACTGGTTTCACATACCAAACAACAACAAAAGCAACTAAAGTCCAAGCTATTAATCAATGTAGTCTAGGCTAGACCATCTCGTGCATCGATGGGTAGTTCGAGTTTGGACTCAAAACTCTTACACGGTCATAATTACCCACCCTGACCGAAAAACAACACGACAATTCAATTTCATGGACAATCAAATTGGGGGGCAACAGTTTCAAAGCTGGATACTTGACCCTAGTTGATCTAGTAAGAAGATCCCACCTTATTTGAAACATTAAGTACCTGATAAGGATTATAGGAAATTAGGAAAGAAACCACTCTTTACCTATCAACCTTTGCATTCCATATCATTAGACCATCCCAGAGGTGATTAAACTATTCCCTTTGCTGATTATCCCATATTAATTGTTAATTCTAGTTGTATCTAACTGACCCTAAACCTTTATATATGGGCAGTTAGAGTCAGTTACTTGTAATTGGAATTAATAATCAATATTATAAGTGTAGCTTACTCTAAGACCAAGAATTGAAAATTGTTGGTTATCCCAAAGTTCCTTACTGTAGCAATTTTCAATTTGTTTCAAAATTTCAAATCAAATAAGTCGTAACTTACTCAGACCGATAAATAGAGATGAGGTTATAGTTAAAACCACCCCTAGAAAACCGAAATAACTAGTTATAATGGACATAAAAAATCATAAAGAAATATGTTCTATTTATACATTTGTTTGTAAAGCACTTCCTTAAGTTTCTATTTTTGATACTAAAATATAGGAAGATAAGCAAAAATACCACTTTATATATATATATATATATATATATATATATATATAGGGAATGTTATATTTACAAACTTTTTGTTTACAAACTCTTACAAACTACATTAAGTATGACCGGTCATACTTAGTGTAATTTGTAAAAAAAATTGTAAATAGATCCTTGTCATATATATATATGGGAAAAATATTTATCTCGTCACAGGAGATAAAGTTATATCATGCAATCCTAAAACGATGTCTTTTTGAGGTTTAATATAAAAATAAAGGGTATTTTGAAAATTTCAATTTCCTATTTTAATATGTATTTCGCTAATATACCCTTTATTTTTTATTCTAAACTTCAAAATGACGTCGTTTTGGAGTTGCAAGAGATACTTTTATCTCCTGCGTTATCTCTTGTGACAAGAGGAAGTTAATCCCGTATAATATTATCTTTTTCAATTTGTTGACATTACAAAAATTTCTTACAGGTTTATACTTCAGGGGTATTTATAAAGGTAAGGATTTATTCTATGGAATGTATTTTCCTTTCTATATATAATGTTAATTTCTCATTGATTATATATCATTTAATATTTTCTAATCAAGATTAACTCAGAAAATCTACAAATATATCAAAAACTCAAGTAAAAAATTGACCAATATTTATACATAAAGAGAAAACTTCAAGTTATGGTACTTTTCGAGAGTGAAAATTTATAATTTATGTTGTAAAAAAAAATTATGGTTCGTTAAAATTTGAATTTTGAAAGGGACATTTAAACAAGTATTTCCTATTTTACATCTACTTTTTTGTTTTTCTTTTCTTATTTTCTGACTTTAAAAAAAAAAAATGTATGCGCTAAATTTTATTATAATTTTAGTCTTAGATGCATTGCAACGGTTTTACAAAAATTCTACTCGACACTTTCAATTGATACGTAACTTTAACAGTTTTTTGTTCCTATTTATTTGTAATAACCTGAGAGTATTTCATTTGAAAATTTGGGATGGCAAAATAATATCATCAGAATAGCCCATAATCAGTTTTGGGGTGATATATACCCCCACCCACGCAGGACTTAAGCAATTTTTTGGCGTGAATGATGGTGTGGGCGACGATGGATTTCTAATAGTTGAAATAGTTCAAATAGGAAAAGACACAGGAAGGTATGCCCTACCATACTTTATTGTCAAATTTCTATTAGGTGTGGTAGCTTTCATTATAGTGTTGATCTATAAATGGGGAAGAAGACATACATCAAGCTATGATAATATCGAAGAGTTTTTGGAAGGAAATACCTTCATGCCAATAAGGTACTCATACAAAGAAATAAAGCAGATGACTAGAGGTTTTAAAGAAAAGCTTGGTCAAGGAGGGTTCGGCATGGTGTATAAAGGAAAGCTTCGCAGTGGTCCATTTGTAGCCATAAAGATGTTGAGTAAATCAAAGGCTAACGGGCAAGAATTCATTAGTGAAGTCGCAACTATTGGAATGATACATCATGCCAATGTGGTTCGACTTATTGGATTTTGTGTTGAGGCATCAAAACGTGCTCTTGTTTATGAATTCATGCCCAATGGTTCTCTTGATAGATATATTTTCTCCAAAGCTGATAGTATCTCCTTAACTTACGAGCAAATATATGAAATATCTCTTGGAGTGGCTCGTGGTATTGCTTATCTACATCAAGGATGTGACATGCAAATTTTGCATTTTGATATCAAGCCACATAACATCCTTCTTGATGAGAACTTTGTCCCTAAGGTTTCAGATTTTGGGCTCGCAAAGCTTTATCCTATAGACAAAAGTATTGTTACTTTGACAGCAGCAAGGGGAACAATTGGATACATGGCCCCTGAATTATTCTACCATAATATTGGGGGAATATCATACAAGGCTGATGTCTATAGCTTTGGAATGCTTTTGATGGAAATGGCAAGCAGGAGAAAAAACTTGAACAAACAAGCAGAGCATTCAAGTGAACTTTTCTTTCCTCTTTGGATTCATGATCAATTAAGCCGAGAAAATGAGATGGAAATGGAAGATATTACCAATGAAAAGAATAATGAGGCTAAAAAGATGTTCATAGTTGCATTATGGTGTATACAGTTAAAACCAAGTGATCGTCCTTCGATGAACAAAGTAGTAGAGATGCTGGAAGGAGAACTTGAGAACATTGATATGCCACCAAAACCTTCCTTATATCCAGACGAAATGATTCAAGAGGATCTCACAACCAACTCAGACCAAACTCTTTGTGATGATTCTATTGGTTCTACAAGTTATATTGAGTGAGGAAAGTTCTATTCATACTTTATACAATTATATCTTCTGCTTCATAATTGTAATGAATTTGGTTTTACATGTTTTCTAGCCAAATGCACAACATAAATTCATGGTTACTTCAGCTGAGATTTTATCTTTAGATGTTAACATGCACCAAACACAACCTTAATGTTCACAAAACATGTGATATTCCACTCTAAAATAAAGCTTGTGATTTTTCTTTCATTTTTCTTTTCATTCTTGGAAGTTATGTAGAATTTTAGTTTCCTTTTTTTTTTTTTTTATATAAAGGAAAGAAAAATTACACAGCTACGTATCTAGGCATCAATGTGCCTCTATTATCCTCTAGGAACAGCTCCTCACAACCAACAGGAACGCTGCTATACCAGTGTGTGCTCCAATCAGCATGGCTTCCAACAGTGGCCATCCTATCAGCCACCTGATTTCCTTCACTATATACATGACTTGTAACTACCTTCCATTCCTTAGCTATCATAAGCAGATCCTGGACACCAACGAATAACAGGGATGAGAGGATACACAGCCCTCACTCACAATATTCAAAGCCAACATCGAATCACTTTCCAGCAACACCTATTTAAATCCATGCTCCCAAGCCCAATCCAATCCAACCAAGATACCCCACAATTCAGCCATCAATATAGAAACAGGACTTACCCTCTTAGAGAAGCCCATAATACATCCCTCTTCCTCATCTCTAACAACACCACCACAAGATGAGCTGCCTCCATTACCTGAGAATGACCCATCAGTATTAATTGTGATCCACCCAACAGGGGGTGGCCTCCAACAGATCATGATCTTATCGTGACTGTCAACAGACAGACCTGCAATAGTTAAGATGCTTTCAGCCACTTTTATATTTGACACAAACAAAGAGGCTTGTGAAAAGATCTCGTGGGGGAATGAATGCTTCCCATTAAAGACCAGATCATTCCTATGCTTCCAAATAAGCCAGCAAATTACTCCAAATTTCAGTCTCCAAGCCATGTTCCTTTCTTTTCTGTTAAGATTATTATCTAACCAAAACTCCAAGTCTGCCATCAGAAAGTATGGCAACTCATTCTTTTCTATCCAGTAGCTCCACACCTCTTGACTCCATTGACAGCTCCTAAACACATGATCAACATCTTCCCCAGCCATGTTACATCTAGGACATAAATCAACAGCAGACATATGCCTACAGTATCTCTCTGCATTTGTAAGGAGCTTGTTCCCAGATAGCAGCCATAGAAAGAGCTTGACTCTTTGTGGTCCCTCCCACTTCCAAACCGTGTCCCAGCTTTTAGAAGAGACATTCATGCCCTGACAGGATAAAGATCTGTAAGCAGAGCCAACCTTGAAGGATCCACAGCTAGAAAGGGTCCAGAACAACTTATCCTTACCAGCCATATGAGATGGAGGACTAACATTACCAACAGCAACCAGAGCCTCCCTGCTAAGAAAATTATTAAATTTGCCCCAATCCCAATCACCTCTATGGACACAATCAATCACCCTCCAATTTAAGCTCTCCTCGGGAATATCAGCTAAAGCATGGCCAACCAATCTCCCAACTCTAGGTACCCATCTATCAAACCAGAATGAAGAGCTAGAACCATCTCCAATACTTACCCTTGAGCCATCAATAACTTGATCCCACACACTCCGAATCCCTTTCCAGACATTGGACTCCATGCTTCCTCTCTTTAGTACAGGGCTAAAACCCTCACCAACCTTATACTTACTGCATAAAACTTTCACCCACATGCTGTCCTTGTTGGCTATGAGGTTGAAACCAAGCTTCATGTAAAATGCCTTATTAACCAGAGATTGATTCCTGAAACCCAAACCCCCCTCCTTTTTAGAGGTGCACACTTTCTTCCAACTAACCAAGTGTGTTTTCCTTTGGCCTCTTGAAGAGCCCCACAAGAAACTCCTAGTCAGTTTTTCCACTTCATTGCAGATTCCCTTAGGCAGGACAGCAGCTTGCATGGGGTACACTGGCAAGGACTCAAGGACTGATTTGGCCAAAGTTGCACGGCCAGCCAAAGTTAGAGAGGATTGGTTCCACCTAGACAGTCTTCCCTGTACTCTATCCAAAACATTCCTGAAGGTGTTTTTAGTTACTCTTTTATGAAAAAGAGGAACTCCAAGATACTTCCCCAGATCTGGGGTAATCCCAATGCCAAGAGATCCACTAATTTCCTTAGCCCTCCCCAAGCTTACATTCTTAGAAAAGAACACTCTGGTCTTCTCCTTACTGATTTTCTGTCCAAAAGCATCAGAAAAGACCCTTAACACCTGATTTATCACATGCGCTTGCTCCAAGCTGGCTTCAGCACACAAGATGATATCATCTGCAAAAAGCAGATGAGATATAGGTGGAGCATTTTTCCTTAACACAATAGGCTTCCAGGCTTCTGTCTCCACTGCCATCTGAATTAGCTGAGCTAGTTTCTCCATGCAGAGAACGAACAGGTAAGGGGAGATAGGATCCCCTTGCCTAATGCCCCAACCTGGAATTATTTCCTTAGTGGCCATTCCATTCCATAGCAATCTCATGGAGGCTGTGGAAATACAGCTAAAAATTAGTTGCACCAGAGAATCAGGAAGCCCAATGTCCTTCAAGGCTTCAACCACAAAACTCCAATCAAGCCTATCATAGGCTTTCTCCAAATCCACTTTTATCATCATCCAGCCCTTCCTACCCTTCCTAAGTCTCGTAGAATGAATAACTTCTTGGGCAATAATAATATTGTCAGTACCTTGTCTTCCCATTATAAAACTACACTGATTGGGAGACACAATCCGAGGCATTAAATCCTTCAACCTTCCAGCAATGATCTTTGTGATGATCTTATAAACCACATTGCATAAGCTAATGGGTCTAAAATCTTTCATATTCTCAGGGCTGTCCTTTTTGGGAATCAAAAAAGGAAATGTACCATTGATGTCCCTCACCTTCTCAGGAGAGCAAAAAATATCCTCCACAAGCTGACAAACTGACCCACCAACAACATTCCACTGGCTTTGGAAAAACACAGCACTTAGACCATCAGGGCCAGGGGCTTTGAATTTCCCCATTCTAAATACAGTCTTCCTTATTTCCTCCCTGTTTGGCCTAATAGCAAGGACTCTCTTCTCTGCATCAGTTAACACCGGGAAGCCATTCTGGATAGGGAACACTCCATCCCTTTCTTCCTCAATACTGAACAAGCCTTGGTAAAATGAAGTAGCCATATTTACCAGCATATCAGAATCAGCAATCCACTCCCCTTGTTCATTCTTCAGAGTCACAATCCTATTATGCCTCCTCCTAGCAATTGTGGATGAGTGAAAAAACCTGGAATTCTTATCTCCATATTTCAACCACTGATTCCTTGAACTCTGGAACCAGATCAGCTCTTCCCTCACCAAAATGGCCTGAAGTTCCCTCCAAAGCTCCTTTTGCAACAGTTCTGTATTATGGTCATACCTACCATACTTGTAAGAATCCAAACCATTCAACCTTGAGTATAGTCTGTTTTTCCTCCTCATATTCTCCTTGAACACATTCTGGTGCCAGATCTTAGCATCCTTCTCAAATTGGTCCCTAGCATGCAGCCAACTACCATCCTCCTCCTAGCTTTTTTTAACCAACTCATTGAAACTATGATCTGTTAACCAGGCTGCCAAGAATTTAAATCCTCTAGTGTGCTCCCTAGGCTTGACTTGCCCCTCATTACACAAGAGAATAGGCCTGTGATCAGAATTAAAGAACGACAAATGAGAAATAAAGCAATTAGGCCAGTCAATGTTCTATGCCTAATTGGAACAAGCTCTGTCCAACCTCTCATGCAGTCTTCCATGTTTCCAAGTAAAGTCAGGGCCCTTATAACCCATATCATCAACACTGCAGTTGCTGAGACACTGCTGCATCTCAGAGATGCTCCTCCAGCAGACCTCTCTACCTCCTTTTTTCTCTTCTGCCTTTAAAAATGAGTTAAAATCTCCCAATACAAGCCAGGGACCAGGGAACTCTAAGCTAATGGCCTCTAACTCCAGCCAAAGAGCCATCCTCTCCAATCTTCTTGGACTCCCATACACAAAAGAAATGAAGCTAACTTTCCCCACTCCCAGGTACCTCACCCGAGTATGTACAACCTGGTGGTGAGTCTTTAACACCTCCACCTCCACTACATTATTGTCCCAAAGAACCCAGATCCCACCAGAAACCAACCGGATCCTGCCTAAAGAAATTAGAGAAACCCAACTTCCTAGCAATCTCCTCACCTCTAGAACCACCAATCTTAACCTCCATCAAAACCAAAATACTGACTTTGAACCTGAATTTTAAATCTCTAACCAGAGAAGGGAACCCACTCTTCCCCACTCCTCTACAGTTCCAAGCTAAAACAGACATGAAAGCTAAAAATAACAGACTGTACAAGGGGAAACCCCTAAAGAGAATCAACATACCTGGTGGACATTAGGCTCACCCACCAACTTGATAGGAATCCCCACTTTCCCAATCTGTCCAGAAAGTCCCGGGTCCAACCTTAACAAAGGATCCCCACCCTGATCCCTATTAGCAATACTGGTAGAAGCACTACTAATCTTGTTCATCCCATCCGAGCTAGCCATGGGTTTCCCTCTGTTTTTATTCACCCCTTTGATCTGGCCATCTGAACCCGGACTAGGAGGGATGTTCTCAGCTCCAGACTTTTTCGGATATGGTTTCCCTCCTACTTTGCCACGGTCCTTACCCTCCCTAGGAGTACTCCCTCTAGTTTCCCTCTCAGGAGAATTAAGCTTCTTCTGCTGACCAGTGCCAGCACTCCCTCCTCCTTGAGTCACAATGACTGGCTCATTAACTGATAACATGTTAATATTCGAATCCCCAGAACCATGACTAGCCTCATTACCAATACTCTGATGCTCCACTCCTATGTCCTTCACTTCCTCCATTCTAGGAGTAACCACTGTACTTGGACCAAGAGCTCCTTGACTATGAGGCTTCTGCTCATTCCCAGACTCCACTTTCAGAGTCACAGGTTTAGCCTTCAGTTTTCTACTCCTTGGCTACCTCTGAACCACCATCCAACTCCCGAAAGCCTCCTCCTCCTTCACATCCTCTGCCACCTTGACAATCTCCTCCCTCCCCTGAGTACTGACCTCAGATCCCTGCTGGACCCCCGATGCTTGGACCTCTGGGCATTGGTCTTTCCTATGGCCATATAGACCACACTTAAAACAAATTAGATGGAGTCCCTCGTATCCTACATGCAACACCCTGTTACCTATCCAAAACTTGGATAGGAAGCTCCTCCTCAGATCAATCTCAACGCAGATCCTAGCAAACTTTCCCCTATCAGTTATGGCTTCCCCGAATTCATTTTTCCTTAATGAGTTTCTGTCCACCTTAATGGTCCGGCCAAACATGTTACCAATGCGCCACAAATGTCTCACCATGTACAACTCCATAGGCAATCCAGGGATTCTCAGCCACACAACCATCTTCGTCACACTGTCATCATAAGGATCAAATAGTGGCCTCCAGCGTTGGACGACCACGTAATGATCATTAACGATCCAGGGACCTTCCTCCAAAACGAACCTATAATCGCCATCCTCTTGGAACCTCAGCAGAAGAAAACCATTGTCTAAATCAATAGTTTCGAAGGAACCTACCAGGTTCCAGAGCCTTTGAAGCCTTGCAATGAGGAATCTGGCTCCCAATCTTTTGCCAAGTATCTTGATGATCAAGGATTTACGCCACTTCTCACAGTCCTGCCGATGGTCCTCCGCGGTGAACACATACCTTGGACAGAGGGGATCCTCCACCTCCTCCTGGCCAAGCCCCTCCAAAAGAGCCGCTTCCTCCTCCTCACGTTTCTGTTTGGCGATCCAGTGCTCTTCCTCGTTGTCCGATTGACCGCCATCGCCGTTCAATCGAAGTAGCTTGTCCTTATAGGACACAACCTTAACACGAGAACCCTCTTTGGTCTCCGTCATCTTCACTTCAGTAATCGATCGAATCGGAGAGGATAAACCAGCCTCCGAGTTCGCTCCTTCTTTCATGACCTCATCCATCACCGAACCCTCCATCTCGGTTCCTTTGGATTTCTTCCCACTCCGAGAAGCACCATCCTCTTCAGCAGCAGTCCTGCTTCTCACACCCTTCGTCGCATCCTCCTCCTTCAATGCATGTTGACCAACGTCATCGATCTCCATTTTACCAAAACTTGAGCAAACCCTAACATACAGGAAAAAAACGCGCGCGTGGGGCTACGCGTCAATCAAAATCCCCCTTAGTTTCCTTTAATTGGTGCATAACGTTTTGGAGAAAGAGAGGTTATTATATTATTGGAAGTTATGTAGCATTTCACTTTACTTTCATTGGTGGAGAGCAATATATATAGAGAAGGAGACGTTGTTAAATTCTAAGAGCATGTATCTTCTTAGATAGGATTTACTTATAGATGGCTCAACAGTAAAAGACCACTAATAGGAAATCAAAGTGAAAATCGTTTTGTCAACATTTTTGGACTTACTAGTTGAATTAATCCTTATTGTCCAGTTATTTCACTTTAAAATTGACATATACCATGCACTTATTCTTATATTTTATTACCAATGAGAAAACAAAAGCAAATTAGTGAGTTAATTAATAGCTTTTTTTGGGTGATTATATCACATTCTACTCAAGGAGTAAAATTGGTCATCCCGTCCAAGCCAAGAATCTAAAGGCCATTTCGATTTTTATGAAGTCCAGAAAAATACAGTGTAACTTGAGGACAGGAGTAATTTGGAGAGTATAAGTCTAGATACCCTTCTCTCCCTCTCTCCCTGACTTGAAAAAATTATTTTAGGCAAAATGAGCTATTCCTAATTTAATTTGACTTTCATTTCATTTTAAAAGGACGGAATAATGATTTTTTCCTGCTCGCCAAGAAAACATACAATATCAATTTGTATTTTAATCAACTAATTATCAATCTATTTAAACCAATAATTTATTTACCATTTACTGTGAAAATTTTCGACGATATTAACAACCTTGATTCTCAAATTTCAACGGGTAAAAGGAAATCACTTCCGTTGTGAAGACTCGATCTCAAACAGTGTCAAAAGGCTCGCGTTGGTTCAAGTTTGAGTTCAAAAGTGTATTAAACGTAATTATTATGCTAGGCTATGTTTTAAACTGCAAGCATAAATTGCTAGAATTGTTTATACCCAAAATGAGAAAGGGCACTTGAAGAGCTTTGCTTTCTTTCGTGTATGTGTGACAGCGCTTCAAACCCGTTGTAGGCTTGTGCCCTTATTTGTAGGTTTTAATGACAACCTATTCGAATATTTAAGTGTGATAATGGTATTTGAGTCGGGTTCAGCACCAAAAAAGTTGGTTAGAGGTTTCATTGAGGGGAAGCATAATAATGTGCTACTTGAGAGGAAGATTATTGAAATATTCAACTACAATGAAATCCTACATTAGTTAATAATAGTTTAAGTGAAGAACATATATAAGTGAAAAAACTATAAACTTAATGCCTTAAAATTCCTGGCTGAGACATATTTTTGATGTAATTTTGTCCAAGAAGTGTAGAATAATTAGTTCATAAGGACCACCGTTGTATAACCATTCATCAACGGATGCCGCTTTCCATATCGGGTAAAAGTGCAAATTTATAGCCGTAAAAGTAGGAATAATGGCACCAGAAATAATACACCAGCAACTCCTATCATATGAAATGGGTTCTATGTCCAATTATGAAATCCCTGGAAAAAGAGGATGAATCGAAATATAGCCGCTACACCGAGGTAGTTTTCCTTTATTATGGCCTTCCTTGTGCTCCGTTTGACTCTCGATATCAGAGCCAGGGTGAGTATTTGGATGGCTTGAGATGAATATATTTTTTATAGCAGAACTCCTCGACCTGACCCAAGTTTTGACAGTAGCTATAAGGAGGTCTCTGTCCACGACCATGATAGTAACAAGGTCCCTTGTTCCTGTTGGAGTCATTAGCACGAGCGACAAGAGCAGTGAAATCTAATGAGGACACAGTAAAAGAAACGACGACAGGTGCTGGCACATCCTTATCTTTGATATTCAATAAACGTTGGAATGTCTTTATTAAGGTTAGAGTTTCAGCACTAATTAAAATATGATGGCATATGCTATCTAACTTTTCTGGAACATTGGAAAGAGCCATGACATAAAAAGGAGCTCATGTTCCTTCTTGTGTTGATCACATGGATCTTTAGAATAGGGCAGTATAGCCGAAAATTCCTACATTAAAGAATGAACTTTTTTGAGGTGAGTTTCCATCTATGTATTTAATGATTTGCACAACTTTATTCTATGGGAGACAATCGAGTAGAGTTGTTGGACATCATTTTGTACAAACTTTTGGCTTCATCCCACACCTCATAGGAGATCTTGGAGGGAATAAAGAGCTCAAAGATTTTAGGATCAATACATTGCGAAAGGATACAAGGTAGCTGGACATCAAACATCTTCCATTCAGACAAATGATTATTGGGAACATCATCAGATTTTGTGGTGATGACATGGTCCAAATGTCCTTGACTTGTAAACCATATTTCAATTAAAGAAGACTAAATCTTGTAAGTAACAGATCTGGTCAATTTTCTTGTCATAATAGAAAGGACAACATAAAGAGTAAGGCCAAAAGTATATTTTTCTACATAGGAAGAAGGAGAAGAGACCCTAGAAATACTAGAACTTGAGTATGACATTAGGGATTAGGGAATATCACATATCAGGAAAAAAAAACTGGGTATATATAAAAGCACCAAAGGGTGATTGGAAAGCAACAAAACAGCAAAGAATGGCCATTACCATGACTAAAAAAAGATAATGGTTCGCTAGAAACTATCAAACATGGACCCACTCAAAACCGAGAACAGATCTAAGGAGAGGGGACCACCTCGAGTCGTTCTATGGTGGTCCGGCTAGAAACGGTGGCAAGACGGCATCGGGCGTGTAAAAAAAAGTTAAACTAGCATCACATTAATTTGCCTACGTACCCTGATTGATGCGGACGACATCAAACAACAACAGATTGATGCGGGTAGGGGTGGGAGATAATTGGAAGGTGTCTTTGGATGTTGAAGAGTTGCTGGTGGGATGCATGATAGTGATGGCTTGCTAGTAAGGCGCGCGACAAGGACGGGGATCATTAGGTGATAGGCCTAACGGGATTAAGATTTTGCCCAAGGGAGATTTGAGAGAACGTAAGTTTTGGTATAAACTTAAAAAACTGTTTGGATCCTTTTTTTTTTCTTTTTTAAGTTAGAAACTACTTATAAGTTTAAAGTAAAAAAAAAAAAGATTAAAAAAAATTAAAAATTATTTGGTAATTATATAAAAAAATTAGTTTAAAAGTTAACATATTTCAAGAAAATTATCTTTCACTCTATCTTTGTAACTCTTTATTAAAAAAAAACACATAATTCAATAAAAACATATAAGAGCTAAAAAAAAAAAAAACTTCTCCTAAGAGCTTTTAGCTTTTTATTTCATAAATTAAAAAAAAAATTGATTCCAGAAAAGTTGTCATGCACACCCTTAGATTATTTGTTTATCCACATCTCATAATTCAAATGTTATGAAAAAGAAAAAGAGGAAAAAAAATAACGTTTTGGTAGGCGAATCGTCTTAGTACTCATACTAATCTATTACTCGTGGGATACACGAGAAAAAAAAATTGGTTTGTCTCTCTCTTAAAAATTAATGCAATTCATAAAATATATATATCTGCATTTTATTTAAATCAACACTATGGTACCTAACTCTAACTTTTTGTACATATAGAGTTGGCAGATATATTTAGAAGAATTATATAAATATTTTACTAAAGAGTATTTTTGTCAAAAATATTTATTTTTATCCTATCTAGGATTATACCGTTCATTACCAAATAATGGAGAGAATTATTTTATAC